GGTCTGCTGACTGGGTGCTGGCAGGCTTGCACCTGGCACGGGCACCGTAGCCAGCCCGTGCCCCTTTAAGAGGTCCGGGACCGGGAGGGGGGCAGATGAGTTTCCCTGGTGTTGGCCAGAGTGGCCACCAGGGAAACCTGGGGAGGGCTAGCCTCCCACTAGTTCGAATTAAGGGGCAACACACCCCTTAATTCGAACTAGCTAGTTCAAACTAGGCTTAATCCTCGTGGAATGAGGTTTTCCTAGTTCGAACTAAGCGCTCTGCTAGTTCAAATTAAGTTCGAACTAACAGAGCACTAGTGTAGCGCCTATCAAAGTTAGTTCGAACTAACGTCTGTTAGTTCGAACTAACTTTGTAGTGTAGACATACCCTGATATATGTCTATTCAACCTACTCTTAAATATCTCCAGTGATGGAGATTTCACAACCTCCCGAGGCAATTTATTCCAGTGTTTAACCACCCAGACAATTAGGAAGATTTTCCTAATATCCAACCTAAACTTTCTTTGCTGCAGTTTAAGTCCGTTGCTTCTTGTCCTATCCTCAAAAGCAAAGGAAAACAATTTTTCTCCCACCTCCTTTTAACACCCTTTTAGATACTTGAAAACTGCTAGCGTGTCCCCTCTCAGTCTTCTCATTTCTAAACTAAACAAGCCCAATTCTTTCAGTCTTCACTCATGGCTCATGTTTTCTAATCTAGATTTTTAATCATTTTTGTTGGACCATTTCCAATTTCTCCACATCTTCCTTGAAATGTGGTGCCCAGAACTGGACACAATACTCCAACTGAGGCCTAATCAGTGTAGAGTGGAAGAATGACTTCTCAAGTCTTGCTTACAACAGAATCATGTTTGCTTTTTTGCAATAGTTTTAGCATTTTTCATCTTTTTGTAATGTTTGTTTTCTAAAGCTAACCATATTTTAAACCAAAATGCTGTCTTGACATGAAACTAATGAAACAAAACATTTCAACTCTTTTGAATTTTCTTCTCTAGCCAAAGCTATTTATCACATTTAATCCAAATCCAGAAACAGTTTTGGGTTCTGAAAAATGCATTCCTTCCCCCCCAACATGCACTCAATAAATCCCAGAAAATGAGATGTGTAATGGAAGCTATGTCTTCATCACAGCAGAAATGGCACTGTTCATTGCTCTCTTAGGCTGTGTCTAGATTACATGGCTCCATCAACGAAGCATGGAGATGAGGATTGTAGGCCTAGGGAAATGAAGTGGTGATTTAAATAATCGCCGCTTCATTTAAATTTACATGGCTGCCGCGCTGAGCCGACAAACAGTTGATCAGCTGTTTGTCGGTTCGCACACTAGTCTGGACGTTCCCCGTCAACATCAAAGCCCTTTGTCGGCAGCCCCGTTATTCCTCATGGAATGAGGTTTACCGGGGCT